CTCGTCCGTAATGCTTTTTCTAAAACGTAGCAGATCATTTTGGCACTTCAAAACATCATTCCCTAGTGCTTATCAGCAAGGTTATCACCTGTTCTCTGAACTTTGCCATTTTGAATAAAACATTTTGTCTGCAATCAACGTGACATCAGTATCTCATACGGCAGTATGGGTGCATCAGTCTTCACTGATTCCTCGGTGCGTGAGCAGTTTTGCACCGATGTAAATCCCACTTTGCCTCTACACACAGTCTCCTGGCTTCATGTATCATTCTCAAACATTTATGCAACCTCAAGACTTACATGGTTTCTAATTTTTATTGGCCGAAACGCTGAAGGTCACCAACAGGAATTCCTTGTTAATCATCTCGTCCACGCCACAAGTAGAAGCTGCCCGTCGATATCTCAGGGACCACACGGTGTTAGGTAGCTAACAAGGAACAAGCCGGATGAGACAAATACTTTTCAGGTTGTTGCGATTCAGTTGGCACGATATTCGTGATAACACAGTATATTTTCATAAAAGAAACTACTCACAAGGTTGCTGAAAACTCTTCGACAGCCCAAAACCGGTTGCGCCCTTCTTGGGGCTCATCAAGTAGGCGCAGTCCCCGAGTTTCCGTCAACAGTGGTCTATTTACGCAAATGTGACGCGTGCATGTTTGTGGAAAGTTGCTTGAAACATGGAAGAAATGAAATAGAACATAGAACTTAACGTGATACGGTTTGGAACCGTTACTGATGGGAAGTGCAGTATGCATAAGAACCTCATTTAATACGGCGGTCATCCACAGCGGTACTTTCTGAAGAATGCATCTTAGTCATGCAGCATAAGAGGGCTACTGCCTTGGTAACTGCAGCCACCAATTACATTAAAATTAATGCCAGTGCACTAACCAACTTAATTACTCAATCGGCGAGGATATTTTATTCCAATGCATGTGCTACTCAAAGTTTAGACGAGAATACCGCCTAGAGGGTAAATGGATGCTACAAAAACCCTTAATTATATGCGCATCAGATCAGATACATGGACTGTAAGGCCCTTGTACAGTCTCCACTTGCTTTTGACACTGGTCTGTGTACACAAGGCACACTGTTTCTGACTCCTTCCGTCAGTGGAACTTTCCTGACATTGTTTGTTTGATTATCCACCAGAAGTATTGACTTCATCACAATCGTACCGGTGTTCATGACAAGGAACGTTACATTTCGGCGCCAGTAGATTTGACGATGACAGTTTGGGTTTGTTGACTGTCGGTTAAAGTAATGGGGTCANTTTAACATTGACATCGAGGAAGCTTAACTGGCCGTTTTTTTTGTTCTGGTTCGATAGTAACCTTGATATTAGCATGGACTGAATTGAAACTGCTTAGTACGTCTGTTGTGCTGATGGTTTCATCGGCAAGAACGAATATGTCGTCTACGTAGCGGCGATATAATGTTAACCGTCCAATGAGTGCATCTAATTTTTGAGTCTCTAGCTTGGTCATGAAAAAATCTGCTAATAGGGGACCTAGAGGAGACCCCATCGCGACCCCGTCCTTCTGTCGATAAATTTGATTGTTGAAAGTGAACTGAACATTGTAGGTACAAAGGAGCAGGAGTTCCTTAAGATCCGAAGTAGGAATTCCAATATCCTTACCGTTGCACTCAATCAAGTCACAAACGTAGTCTATTGTCTCGGTGAGTGGTATGTTGGTAAACAATGACTCGACGTCCAGGGAGAACATGGAGTGTTTATCAACCTTCAAATCTCTAATCTGATCGACGAAATCAAAACTGTCTCTTAAGCTGTGTGTCGACACTTCTCTCCTGATTGGTTCTAACAGACTGACCAGCCATTTGGCCAGAGCATGATAAGGAGAATTAGACATATCGAGGATGGGCCTGAGAGGTAGGCCGGGTTTGTGCACTTTCGGGAGACCATAGAGCCGAGGGATTGTTGTGCCATTGGGGCGGTTACGATTTGTCGGTCGTTTTTCTCTGTTGAGTTTGATTCGTCCCGTTAGTTTTGCACTCGAGCTGCAAAGAAATTCGATACTCGGCACACACTTAGCGGAACCGGATTTCGGAACATAAAATCCATGTTGAACCCTCATATAGCCATTTGAACCGGCCCCGTGCATGGAGCTCATCAGATAAGATAACCATCATCATCATCGATAGCATGACATCCTGGTTCAACACCGATGCTTCTCTCCCATACAACCATGATTTACTTGAAAGCCTCATTGTGAAGAAAATAATTAAAGTGGACAGGGATGGAAGTTAGCGCTAGCTTACTACAATCATTCCGAGGTGCCTACACCTCCTGTCACTCATTCAGGTAATCTGGATAGAAACTGACAAGGAACGCCATTGACACCATATCTTGCTGTGTCTGCAACCAGGTGCAGAGGGGATCACGCGGTTCCTATCCAGGAACGTTACTAGCACCGACAGCACCCAAACGTTTCGTAATTTCTCTCACTTTTCTGCCGGGTCAGGGTTTGTTCATATATCTGCTTCCACCACTCTGAGTTGGGCACGGTAAACAGCACTTTCTTTGGCAAACGATGGTTAAGCCAATGTGGCTTCTGGTGCTGGACACATTTCTCAGTGGAAGTAGCCGTTGCACGACCAAAAACTCGCTTTTCAATTGCCTCGTTACGGACACGCCAACGTCAGCCCACTCGAGATGTGGTTTTGAGACAACGATTGTCGAACACCCGAGGTGTCTCGGTTCCGCTGCTCGAACAGGCCAAGTTTCACAGCCGTACAATAAAACAACCCGTACCGTAGCTTGATACACACGTCCCTTGAGATGCAGGGATGCACCACTCTGACCTATGGATGCACTTATGGAGGTGTCTCAATTTATCAAACGCGACCCGAGTCTTGGAAATTCGTGCATCGACCTCATCTGTCACACTACAGTTAGAACTAATACAACTCCAAAGGTAGGGGCGAGATGGTTCAAGTGGTTAGACCGCGAATTTACTAACCGGAAGGTCCGTGGTTCGAATCCGACCCCCGCCACTCGACTTCCCCTGTCTAGGCTTGGGCAACCTGGCAGTATCCCAGCCCTCGTGCCTCGTTCATGTGGCATGGCAGCTAGGCACCGAATGGGTGCTACAGCTGGACGATTTTTTTCCAGGTTTATACGTCAACTGTGGGCTCCAGGTGAGTGGCAGCTAGTTGACACGACAGTTGTTGTTCGAAGTATTCGGCCCAACGATTGAGGCGTTCTTCTTCATTCTAGATGGCCACGTCTTTTCGACCCTTGATGATTTCGCTCACCGGTGGTTTCTGGGGTCCGGTCGCACGGATCAAGTGAAAGAAACTTCGGGCATTCCCGGCTTTCTGTGTCCACCGCACTTCGCGGTCGGCTCGTATGCTCACTTTCACTTGACATCTAATAATTCGTCGCATCAAGTTATGTTCGGAACCGGCTGGGATACTTCTCTGAGATTTAAGCAGTACCACCGTTGGGTCTGATATCCAGTGCTTGAGTGCGCCTGATGGTGCCGCGCCACAGATGAAATTCCCAGCACTATGCGAAGGGGTGGTAATCTCGTCCCAGTATGAGTTCACATCTGGTGATGGAGCATTTAGAAGAGAATCTAGAAGGCGATTCTGGTCAGTTCGTTTAACCTGAACCTGCCAATCTTTCAGTTGCCAAGCGGCTTGTCCGCAATTTACGCGGCCCTGGAAAACGTGGGGAGAATCGACTCTGGACGAGTGCGTGGTCGGAATCCACGAAACGACCGACAGTCGGCTATTGATCCGCGGCATCGGTAACTGATCGCAGTGTGGTCGATTTGAGTTTTTGGCCGGTATGTCGCCGGAAGATACCATGTTGCCACACCCATTTTAGTGAACCAGAACCATTTCAATGGTTCATTTAGGCTGAATGTGGTTAAGTGGACAGCAGCCAACTGGAACTGAGCTGTTGGGTGGACGGCGGCTGAACGTTCTATCTTTGGGCCCCTGGCGACAATAATCGACATAATGCGCGAACCGTTACGATTAGCATTGGGACTCCACATCTGAATGCCTCATTAGTCGGATTTGTTCCTTTCTGCATACCACTCCTGGTTGTAGGAGGATACGGCGGTGGAAAAGCTTGCTCCAGCAGTCGGCTATCCGCGGCATCGGTAACTGATCGCAGTGTGGTCGATTTGAGTTTTTGGCCGGTATGTCGCCGGAAGATACCATGTTGCCACACCCATTTTAGTGAACCAGAACCATTTCAATGGTTCATTTAGGCTGAATGTGGTTAAGTGGACAGCAGCCAACTGGAACTGAGCTGTTGGGTGGACGGCGGCTGAACGTTCTATCTTTGGGCCCCTGGCGACAATAATCGACATAATGCGCGAACCGTTACGATTAGCATTGGGACTCCACATCTGAATGCCTCATTAGTCGGATTTGTTCCTTTCTGCATACCACTCCTGGTTGTAGGAGGATACGGCGGTGGAAAAGCTTGCTCCAGGAAAATCTTTTTATAAAGAACGCTTGGTATTGTTTCCTCTGGAGGTTTGTGTCGCTTCAATATAATCAGGAATAGTCATCGTACTTTAGCAGGAGAGTAGATAAATCATCGTTTATGTACAGTAGCGCGTTTCTTCTTCCGACCATCGACATCCGAATTCTGTGGCAATCCTAACCAACTTGTATTTGCATGTGGCCCTTTGTTTGGGAACCGAACTGAACAAATTCTCTGTAGCCGCTCACAGGCACCGAAGCTTGGTTAGCGCCATGTGATAGGTTACACAATTAAAGGCGGGTGCAAGTGGAATGTAAAGTTCTTTGTGGATGTTTCGAATTGCAAGGAACAGTGTAGCCATTTTTTGGAAGTCAGCTGTGCCTCAGAAGAAACTTAACAGATACCCACCAGTAACTGGCGGGGGGAAATGCATGACGCGTTAAAAGTATTCGGCGCATTGCAAACGGCCCTGATACCATTTTCCCTTGAACTAGATGATTCATTTGTTTGTAGCGAGAAGTGTTCATTGAGAATCAAGGGTATTGAATAAAAAAAGGTGAATGTGGTGAAAATTTTGTAATTGTGCCAAAGTCCTGTCCCGAGGAAAGATCCAGTTGGGGAGACAATTGCATCCCGGACTTAAAAACCGCCCCCCTCCTGAAAACGAATAGAAGGGATCTCCTGGTTCCTAAAGTTAGGAAGAAACACTTGGGCGGAATGCATATACCATAGTAATCACACAGGAAAACACCTGTGAGAGTTAGTAAATTTATTCCTCGACTAAGGGTGTATTCTATTTGGGCGACCAACATTATAATCCAGTTAATAACAGCAATAATCTGGATAATCTGGTTAAGTGAACCTTCGATCGGTTTTGGTGTTCTAATTGATAGATGACAGACAGGGTGTGTTGAAATTAGTTATTTCAACTGCTCTGTGTACGGGAAAAGTACGAAAATAGGTAATCTGAGTCGGGTAAGTAATTCTTGTGACAGTCAGACTCAAGTATGAAACAGAAATCAAAGTTTTGCGGCAAAATGGCGATTATTCAAACATCGATAAATAATTGGTTATACTGTATTTCTTTGTCTTACTGTCTTACTTCGATAGTCTTGATACACTGCAACCGTGTTGTACGTTCAGCAGTACTATTTTTTGTTAGTGATCAAACTAAATCAAGGCATATCCATAGGAGCTGGTGGCGTGACTGGACAGACATCTGTAATCGCTTGACTTTTGAATTGGAAATCCGGGTATAGAGCAGTATGATTGCAAATCTTCCTCTTACAGGATGGTCCCTCTTCAGAACTGGATTTTCAAGATGCCCCGGAAGCAGATAGTTTATTCTGTCTAGTAGTCGGAACTTCTTTCTGTTAGGGTTGGATTGGATGAATGTGACTCAAAATTATCCCCTTTGTTGAGAGACGTCTCGTTTTATCTGATTCTTCATAGACAAGAAGCCTCATAGATGACTCTGGCAGACCAGATGGCTGCTTGCATAATAAATCTTGCGCTGACAAACAATGAGTCGTCAGTTTTGTTATCCAAAGTGATTCCCAAAAGAATTCTTCCCACGGCGTTCATCTCTGTTCCATCAGCGGGCCCCTGCTGCTCGGTCTCGGGAAAACCGATCACATCGGGTTAGGAATTTGGATGACAAAACTTGAATTATTTGCATGTCTGTGGAAACTGAATGGCGTGTGCAAAATCCTTGTAGGTAGGATAAAGTCGATAACATATAGAAGATAACTTCGTATAAGTTTTAGGTTTGGTTTGGATAAGCTGACTTGGAGACACATTTTTCGCTTCAACCGTAGCTGCTGTGTGAGAACTCTGCCATAATAATAATAATAATAATAATAATTTTTCAACTTGTGGGTGGCATACCTTCGGGCATGATCATGCGTTTACAGTCAGAATGGGGCATGTGACGGGGGGATTTGCGGCTAGTGCGGAATCCGCGAAATCGGGACAACGTTATGAACAGTGAGGAGAATTCGATGGAATATTGATAAGCTGTAACACCGTTTTGGTACCTAGCCACCATACCAACCAAAATAATCTCGAGGGCGGAGGACACTGACCGATTGCCCGATCGTAGACAGGAACAGTCAAGACGCTGGTTTCGGGTTTTAACCACGGACCACCGTGTCAGTAAGTAGGCGCCTTAGCCACTGATTTCTATCTACCTGGAAATAACTCAACATAGGTCTGATAATCTAACTGAGCGTCCAGGTAGCTACGCTGTAGTTGGCCCGTGATCTACAGCCCAATATAGAAACTATCGTGATCTCAGAGCACCCACACACCTAACGCGTTCTTTTCTAGTTGACCGGCAGCCTCAACTGCATTGTCAAGTTTTTTTCAATATAAGCCCACAAATCAGGATGAAGGAGCCCAGTAAATATATTTTACAACCTTGGATAAATAAGTTTGTCAAATGAACTAGCTAAACGTAGCGTAGTGTGCTTGTACGTGCCATCTGTAAATAATATTCATCGTATATTGTGAGTTCATGTATATGTTGGTTCGTAACAGCTTGGAGGCATGCTTCACGATGGCCGGGATCCAAAAGCTACTGAAGGCATTTTCTACCCTTAATTTCCTTTTGCTGTGTTCTAAGATTGCTAGACGTCTTCGGCATGGTGTTGTAAATTTGTCTTTAAGTGCGATTGAATTTCGCTATGAAGCTTGAGAATCTGAGACGCGAATTTAGCTGAAATGTTGATGCAATATGCCCACTAAAAATACCTTTTGTAGATCCCCAGATATCAGTCAGTCCGTCCCCACTTACAGGTGGGACAAATCTTGGGCGACACGCGAACTACATTCTGTTTCAGGAACTGCTAATCTTGGTTCTGGTTTTACCCGCTGGTCTTGTGGATCCGCGAGAATCCATGTGTATTGGTTGTTCGCCACCGTAGCAGCAATAACCATTGTACGCGGTTTTTATATCTAAAGATGGTGATCATGACATGACCAGGGTCGAGGTTGTAACTAATCACCAAAGCAATTGTGCTGTGTACCCATGGTCATCTTCCAGTTCCACTTGGAAAACTAAGTGAGGCTGGTTGCATCATAAATTCATCTGCAGAATTCCATCCAGCTGACGTTCCGCAACCTCACCCTGATGCTAGGTTGGATGCATTTGGGCAACTAGTTGCCTTGACGACCAGCGTAGTTACTACTGCTTGCATTTTTATACTTCCGAAACCAATCTGATGAAGCGTCATTTATTGACGGTTTGTTGAATCGCGTCCCAAACATACTCCAGAAATCCTCAACTTTTGATGCACGTTTCGGGACTTATAATCGAGGCATCGAGTATAAACTACTATAAACTACTTGTGATGCCTCAGTAGGTGTACGAGTGAATCAATACGAATATTTAATGTCAAATGAGGTTTAATCACCCTTCTTTTTTCTTTCATATTTTCAGGTACACACTAGCGTTTTGCCACGAGTCCAGTGGCGCAACGACGCAAACGAGGTTATTTGCTTGTCACTAAGAGTTTTCAAATCACACTGACCATATATCGAACTTTTTGCCGGTGTTATTTAGCTTCGAAAATTCTCCACTCTCTATCGTTGGACACCTGTAAATCAAGGTAAATCAAGGTTATATTCACTAAGAGTAATCACACTGACCATATATCGAACTTTTTGCCGGTGTTATTTAGCTTCGAAAATTCTCCACTCTCTATCGTTGGACACCTCACCTGCAAGGTAAATCAAGGTTATATTGGTCTAAAAGGCGTTTTGCTTTACAATGACCAAAGGATATTGGTGTGTGTGTATGTATACAGATAAACGGAATGATATGACATATATGTTCTATTGTTTGTAATCTGCATCTCAAATGTTGATGAGGGAAGTTGGGTAAGATCTTATGTATTCGTCAAGCGAATGTTTGAAAGTCTCGAGGTTACCACAATCCACAACAGATGTTGGTAGTTTGTTCCACGTGAGGGATACGCGGACTGAAAAAAAGTAGCGCCGACAGTTAATGCGGGAACATGGAATGTCAACGGCCAATGGATTCGGGTCTGTCGGGCCAAATTAACTGTGAACAAATGTTTTAAAGGGTGATTAGGGGTGTTTATTATCTTGAACATCAGGATGAGGTCTCCTCGTATACACCGATAAGTTAAATCAAACAAGTCGAGTTTACGTAGCCTTTCACTGTAGGGAACGTTTCGGAGGCCAATGACCAGCTTGGTCGCGCGGTGGTAGATACGCTCTAGCAGTTGTGTATCCTTTTGCAGCCATGGAGACCAGGCTTGGATCGCGTATTCCATTGTCGGCCGGAGATATGTGTTCATGATAATAGGGAGAATTTCAGGCGTAAAACGATAAAATATTCTCCTAAGCATCCCGAGCAGTGCCGAGGTCTTGCGATATACTGATAGACAGTGTTTACTCGGCTTCAGGTTGCTAGAAATCCAGACGCCGAGGTCTTTTTCCTCAGCCACCCATTCCAGTTCATTGGATCCCAGTTTGTATGGGAAGGGGTAGCTCTTCCCCAGATTTATGAGTTTGCATTTCTGGAAATTCAGCGGCAGCCGGTTTTGGATGGACCATTCGTCGATTCTTTGCAGATCTTGCTGTAGCGCATCACAACCAGCCTTTCCATGAATTTCAGACCAGATTTTTATGTCATCAGCAAAAAGTACGGTTTTGCACTGCAGAAGTTTCGGCAGGTCATTCATGTATACCAGGAACAAAATTGGACCAAGAACCGAACCCTGAGGGACACCACTTGTGGCGGCAATTTTATCGGAAAACGCTCCATCGACACGAACTTGGACCGAACGGTCACTCAAATAGTCTTTCAGCCAGCTCAACAGATTTCCCGTCACGCCATACATTTCAAGTTTCCGAAGAAGGATACTGTGATCGACTCGATCAAAGGCTTTGGATATATCCAAGTAACAGGCATGTACAGTAACTCCCGCATCGACTGCTCGTGTCCAGTCATCGAGTGTCACGAGGAGATTGGATAAACAAGAACGATTCTGTCGAAATCCGTGTTGTTTATCGCTCAACAAGGAGTGAATTTCAAGGTGCGATTTCAGGGCTTCTGCTATAATTCGTTCCATTACTTTTGATATTACTGGGAGAAGAGTGACAGGTCTGTAGTTAGATGCACACGTTCTGATACCTCCTTTGAATATGGGGGCTATTATCCCGCATTTCCAATCCTCTGGTACCAACCCTTCTTCCAGAGAACTAGCGAACAGTTTAGCCAGAGGATAGCTAAGTGGTTCAGCGCAGTGGCGCAGAAGCAGTGGTGTAACGCCATCCCCACCAGGTGAAGTGTGTACCTGTAAGCCGCGAAGGTGTTTGACAATGTTAGCCCGATCAATATGCACGTCCGATAAAGTTTCGTCCGTTAGTACCTCCACAGTTTGTATAGGAGCGCGGGTATCTTCAGGAGAAAACACGGAAGCATAAAATGTGGCAAGGGCATTAGCTGTTTCAAACGCATTTGCAGTCATTCCCGATTCTGTCTTTATGGCAGATATACCTGGTTTAACTTTAGCCTGCGCATTCACGAATTGATACAATAGTTTGGGGTTTTTCTCCATCCTAGTCATCAATTTGAATTGCTGTTGTAGTTTGTCTTCCTTGATTAGTGACGTGACTTTATTCCGCAACTTTCGGTACGACTCCCAGTGTTCGTCGGTCCGGTTCGTTTTATATTGAAACCAAGCGATGTTACGTTCTGTAATCCATTTTCTTGTTCGACTCCTCACTGTGAACATCTGTACGCAGGTGGCTCGAGGCACCTCTGTCGAATTGTCTGCAATCAAGGTCTGCAGCTGGGCTATGAATGATTTCCATCGCCTATTAGTATTTTCGTGTTCGTCATCCAGCATATTTAGGTCCTGGAAGGCTGAGATTATCTCCCGAAAATTGGTCTTCAGAACATATTTATGTGGGTCGCTTAAACGTACGGAGGAGCAAGTGAAATCGAACAAGAGCACGAGATGGTCGCTCTTTCCCAGTGGTGGTCTATATATGATTTGTTCAACCATAAATGGCTCACTAGTTAGTATAAGGTCAAGTAACGAAGGTTGATCTGTTCCACGAAACCTCGTACATTCGTTAACATGGTTGAATAAAGGTACCAAATCTAACAGCTCCTGAAAGTGTGCTTCAACTGAGTTGAGCGAGTATGAAGCGACGAAAAGCTGGGGAAAATTGAAATCACCCATAATGAGAATGGGAATGGAGTAGTAAGAGCATACGCGACGGATTCGGTCACATATACTGAATGTGTGAGTGTCCATTGCGGTTGGAGAGCGGTAAATGACACCAATAATGCACGCATCTATCTTGTTTGACTTCAGCATACACCAGAGGGTATCTTCAAGGATGAGATTAGCGTCAGGTATTTCAGCACATTGAAGACTACTGTCATAATATAGTGCAACTCCACCGCCATGGGTGGCTCGATCGTGTCGTATAACACTCATGTTTGTAATTTCGATTTCCTTGTCCGATATTTCCGCTTGCAACCAAGTCTCAGTCACTGCCACCAAGTGAGGTTTGTATTGGTCGCAAAAGGCGTTTAATTCTGCCACTTTACTGGGCAGACATTGGGTATTTGTATAGAGGCACTTAAGGCTAGTCGTTGTGGTTAATTCTGCTGTGCTGCAACGCACGACTCCCGGGGAGCCAGCAGTGATTCGTTTTTTGGTAAATCGTTTTTTGACCCCAATTTTTCCATCATAGTCTGAATACCAACCGTGGTTTGTTGGTATTCATCAGTGATCGTTTGCGTTTGAATAGTTCCTATTTCGCCAGTCCGAATCGTATCAGCAGATGCGTTTGAGCGTTTAGGTGAGCTTATTCTCAGTTCCCTCGGAAGCAAATTACGGTGCCTTCGCCACTGAGCTTTCACCAAGTTGGCCATTTCGGCACGAAGAAATGTCAGCTTTAAGGGTCTAGGGCCGTTTCCCATGTATTTTTCCGATTTAGGAATTCTGAAAGCATCAACTACTGCCACCTCTTCCGTTTCGAGCGTACTACTCAGAAACTTCCACTGTAGAACGTCATGTGAAATGCGTGCCGTTTTATCGGAGGCATCGTCAATCTCAGGGACACCCAGAATGATCAAGCTCCGATCATCAGCACGATTATTAGTCGCTTGATTTTCGACATTACGAGATCGTTCTGTCCATGGTACGTCAGCATGAACTCGCGCGCTATTTTCCGAATCGCTCTGGAGTCGAAATGCTGACAACAGTATATTTTCTAATTCTTTTTCTGTCTTAACAGTTACTCTGAGAAGTCTGGGTTTGTCTTGATGATGCGATTTCGGCGGTCGGCTCAGGCGAGTCAGCGAGACTGGTTCGATGGGATCAAGCTGTATTCGATTGCACAGCTTTAACCATTCTTCCATATCGTGCTTATGCTTAGCCGATAATAGTGAGTCGCTTGGCTCCTTGATATTAGTGCATATTACGCTTAGTTTAGGTTTCGGTTTCAGTTTCCTAGTATGGTCGGTAACCTTCGATGCGGGGCAACCGACAATTCCCATGTTCTTGTGTATACTGTTGAGTTCCGCTGGCTCAGGTTCAGTAACATTCGTCTTTTTTGTCTTGGTGCTGTTTGGTCTGGTTTCCTCAACAGTCCTCGGAGTGCAAGCAGCGTCTGCCATTGACCTAGATGCCTTCGCTGATTTTACATCAGTTGTCTGGTTAACTAGGGGCAGCAGAAGCTCTCTGAGTTCTTGTATTTGTTTTATCCTCCGTCTCTCTGTTTGCTCTAAAGCCCATAGTGGTCGGTATATCTACTTGGCCAGTATCGACATTGGAGGCTCTACACATAGTGCATCGATAACAGATAGATGGATGCTTTGGATCATTAATGATCTGAGCGCTCAGATCAGTCAGGGTATTGTCACAACGCGCATGCACCCGTAGTTTCTC